TATTCCTCGATTTGCCGGTCTGAAAGAAGCCTTCGCGGACAAGTTGGCCCAGTGGCAAAAGATCTATGACGATCCCCAGCCGCAGAACTGTCCTCTGCCGGCACCACTCAATGAAAAGTACAAGGACTTTCTGGCCCGCATGTGTATCCTGCGTTGCCTGCGACCTGATAGGATAACACCCATTGTACAGGACTATGTGACTGACTCACTGGGGAAGAAGTACGTTGAACCGCCGCCGTTTGATCTACCCGGATCCTTTGCGGACTCCTCCAGTACCACGCCACTGTTGTTCGTTCTGTCCCCCGGTTCGGATCCCATGGCTGCGCTGCTCAAATTTGCTGATGATATTGGCTTTGGTGGACCGAAGTTTGAGTCTCTGTCGCTGGGACAGGGTCAGGGTCCCATAGCCCTCCGGATGATTGAGAAGGCCCTCAAGGAGGGGACTTGGGTCCTGCTACAGAACTGCCACCTGGCGCCCAGTTGGATGCCCATCCTGGAGAAGACGGTGGACGAAATCTCACCCGACTCCACGCATCCGGAGTTTCGCCTGTGGCTCACCAGCTACCCCAGCTCCCAATTTCCCGTGACTATTCTGCAAAATGGCGTGAAAATGACCAATGAACCGCCCAAGGGCCTTCGCTTCAATCTCTGGCGTTCCTTCATCAGTGATCCGATTTCGGATCCGGAATTTTTCACCACCTGCACCAAACAGCCCATCTGGAAGAAGATGCTGTTCGGTCTGGTCTTCTTCCACGCCACTGTGCAGGAACGCAGGAAATTTGGTGCCCTCGGCTGGAACACGCAGTATGAGTTTAATGAGACAGATCTGCGCATCTCGGTGCTTCAACTGCACATGTTCCTCAACCAGTACGAGGTAAGTAAAATTTGGGAGTCACTTAAACCCGCTTTAAAGCCCAATTTAACTGCTTTTCAGACAGCACCGTCTTAGTCACTTTAACCATGTGTTCATTCGCTATCACATCGGTCAGCTCCGTACAAGGTCCTTCGGGTGCCACCACCCCCTCCCTATTTCTCCGCGCACCCACCCCCATCTCATCAGACAGAAGAAGGTAGATTTAGCCAATAACCTTGGTTTTGCGTGAAAAACAGCAGCGCAAATGCCTTTATAATGTTTTGTGGTGGTGGTGGTGATGGTGGTGGTGGTGGTGGTGGTGGT